TTAATCATCCTAATTTACCAACAGATAAAAACAGGTAAAGGAGGCCAGCAGTTACAATAATGGGGTTCCCTCTACATGGAAAGCAACTTCGGCAAGAGTCAAAGAGGGATGGGGAGAAGATCAAAATATGGGCAGAGGTACGCCGGAGCCTCTCCTTGCCAGGTGTTATGTCATCCCATTTCACTTTCTAGATACAGAGGTGCATTTGAATATGTACTTTCAAGTCTTCAAGTTAGGTCCATTTTAATGCAAGTATTATAACTCTGGACAGCAGTGCATGGAGCTATAGATTACTATCTAGGTCAGTGATGGCGAACCTATGATACGCGTGTCAGAGGTGACACGCGAACTCATTTTTTTGGTTGATTTTTTTTTGTTAAATGGCATTTAAATATATAAAATAAATATCAAAAATATAAGTCTTTGTTTTACTATGGTTGCAAATATCAAAAAATTTCTATATGTGACACTGCACCAGAGTTTAGTTAGGGTTTTTCAAAATGCTGACACACCGAGCTCAAAAGGTTCGCCATCACTGATCTAGGTAAAGGTGCTACTAATGACACAGAATATCTCCAAAACCATTTTCCCTTTTCCTGCCGGTGCCACCTTTTCTCCAGATCTCGTTCAGGCCTCAGCTGAGTGTCAATCACTGCCTCCTGGCCAGAGCACACTCTCTCCAGGTTTCTCAGCTGTTGTCACTCAACTTTCTGGTCTCCTGACTACCATGGTAATGCCCATCACATGGTGGTCAACTGGTCATTGTGGAGATGCAAATTCAATTATACACCCTGGTCAAAAATAGAGAAGGAGAGGAAGAATAGCAATAACACCTCATGACTTAATAAATGAGCTCGGGTCTGGATCTAGAGTAGATGCTTCATAAATGCTTTCTTTCAAAAATAACTCCACAACAAAACAGGCTGGGCTATGGGAAAGCAAAAAGCAGAGATTAGTTTTAGCTACAGAGATCTGGAGAAATATCTTGGAGGTATGAGATATACAGGGTCTTGAAAAAAGAACAAGAATGTTATACGCCATGAAATAGGCCACCTTACCCACAGAGCTTCATGCAAGGACTGGCACACAGTAGTACTCAGCACACATCACTGAATGTGTTTAATTCCTAAGCGAGAAAGCAGTTTCTTATATTCTTTCTGCGGGAGTTAAACAGCAGATACTGATTTTATTTTCTCCTGTTCCCCTGGAACCTTCAGGGAATACTGCTTGGATCAGTTTTTGCCCCCATCCAAAAAATAAAACTTTACTTCCTCTTACCCTTTCACCCTAAGGAAATTAGAAGTATCTTAGAGTGACCATTTACCTAGGAATGCGACCAGGAAAGCCAGAACAACATACCACAGAATGTCTGGTCTCCTGGAAGAGCAGGTCCACCCAGTAAAAACTCTTTCAAACCTAAAAGCCATGGTGGCCTGAGAACCTTGCATGACACACCTGAAAACCAGATCTGTTCCTGGAACCTGGTCTTCCTAGACCAGAAGACAATATTCCTCTTAGACATGGAGACAATTCTAGGACAAGAAGGATGATGTCTTATATCTGTTGAGCACAGAATATAGGATGGGGCAACGGTAGGTTTACAGTTGTTTGTGGAAAATAATATAATAATTAATAAATAGTGCAAATATAAACTTTGTTTCATGTATTCACAATTGTAAATCTACTTTTGCCCCGCCCTGTATGTGCCAGACACTGAGCCAAGAGCTTTATGAGTGTTATCTTATTAGATCCTCCAATCAGTAGTTGAGTGTAGGGCTGCCAGCCCCATTTTACAGAGAAAGGTTATATACACTGAGCTGGTGAGGATGGCAGCCTGGAACCCATGCCCCCAGGCATGAAACTGCCCTGTCCCTCCCCCCAGCCCATCTAGCTTAGCCTTAGCACGTGTAACTCTGTCATTCAAAAGGCAGCTGCATGAAGTTCCTTTCTTTTTCTTTTTCTTTTTTTTTCTTTGTCTACTTTGTGTCCTAAATGATAGATTAACATTTTATTTAATCTTCACATCAAGCTCAAAAAGGTTAAGGAAATTAACCCGTGAAATTATCCAAGTTGCACAGGTAGTAAATGACAAAGTCAGATTTTAAACCCAGGATTGCGTTCTAAAAAGCCTGTGCCCTGTGCTGGGCCAGTCCGCCCCTGAGACTCAGAGTTAGTATTTGGGCCTGTGACCTGGCTAGACTACACCTTTAGCTGCCCTTCTAGCCTCCCACCTCCCCAACGAGGGTGCGGTAGGATTAGGTGTTCACTGCAACTAGCATTTTCAGCTGCCAACGAGCTTTAAAGCCAGTTTGCCCTCCCAGCATAGTGCCAGGAACCTGTTGACAGGAACTGCCATTTCTCAGGCTCCCACGGTCGCCCCAGGGAAGGAGGAAAGTCTTCTTGACCCCTGGGAACTTCTAGGGGCTTCAGGACCTCACCCTACACCTCAGGCTCAGAAATCATCTTCAGGACAAGAGTCAGAGCTCACCCTCTGCAGGGAACAAATAATTATGTGGCAGATAGCTGACACCCTGGGCTAAACTACAGCCAGATTCTCCCTGGCTCCAACACTTCCCACATCCACCACAGGGCCTGACATATAGTGAGGTTTCAAGAAACATTACCTTTATTGAATTATATTTACTGCAGAAAATATTTTCCTGCATTCCTCACCCAAGGGCTTTCTGCAGGACACTGGACTTGGCGGTCATTTACCTGAAGATCCTTTTCCACTCACGGCTGGCTTTTCCAGCTCTTTGGAATACACACCTAGAGAGACTTCTGATTGAGCCTAGTACCGTCAGCATGATGGGAGGAGAAGTTCTGGTGCAAAAAGGCTTTATAATAAGAGTCCTTTCATGGTGCCTCCAAGGGCTCGGAAACAGAGACGGCCAGGGCCCCAGTTACTTCCTTCCGACTCAACAAAGTGCTGGAGCACATTCTCCACTGTCAGCTGCACGCGTCTCCATTAGAACATGCGTGGGGCACATGCTTGGTCTCCTTCCTGCTTGATCAAAGTGACCCTTCCCTGGTCTTCTCCTTTCAGAGGAGGCAATTAGTTGAAACATAATTTGATGGAATCCCACTTCAGCCTTGACCAGAGCCCCTGCCCTGTGCTGGGAGAAAGGTTAGGGATGCTGAAGGTTTCACTCTGGGCATTGTCTCACAATTGGTTCTCTCCGGCGTCCTGTAATTCCGTTTATTCCGCCGCCAGCGTTTATTCCTGTGGACCAGTAGGCACCATGCTGGGCCTGGGGTGTGCGGAGCGTCCATGGGACCTGGCCGTTCGCCGCCCAGTCAGCGGTGGGTGGGATGGAGACGGAGATGCCCTTAGATGAGTAACACTGCCCTCCATCCCGGTGGAGAAGGACTGGCAGTGCCACCAACGGGCGGGACAGCTTCTGCCCGGGCACAGAGTGAGGGCCGTGCTGGGCTCCTGGCTAGGCCCGGGGTGGGCAGGGACTGGCCGGCGGGCAGCCGAGGCGCTCGGGCTCTGCCTGCGGGCGGGCGGCAGGGCGAGGCGTGGGGATGGAGGGCAGGGCCGTGCCCACCTGTGCACAGCAGCTCACGGCGCCCGCCCTCTTGTGTCTCGTAGGTCTCGGATCCGCAGAGAACTGTTCATTGAGGAGATTCAGGCCGGGAGCAGGGCCAGACTGGGGCCAAGCGACTCCCCCGGACGGCCCTCAGCAGCCGGCCGGGCGCCTAGTTTCTGAGGGCGAACAGCTGTGACGCCGTGAAGGCTTCTAAGGTCTTGGCCTCTCTCTTATCCTTATTTATTTTGTTGTCCCCCGGCCGTCCATCAAGTCATCAGAGAGGGCCT